ACCACAGCGGACTTATACGTTAACCTTTTTATTAGACGACTTACACATGAAGCACTTTATTTCACACAAATGAATACAACACACACCAAACTTTCACACTGGCTGTTAGAGCGTCAGGGGGAGGATGTAAACAACAATCACAGGGGAGTTAACCCACAATTTTTTGTATACAGGTCTGGTCACCAAGCGTGGGAAGCCAGGCCTAACCTACTTTTGTAAATGGCACAGCAGGGTGGGGACTTCTGAGTTGATTGTGTGGTGTTGTCGGCTAAAGGTGTGATGGGCATAGGCGCCCCCCCCCCCCAGAGACTCAGGTCCCTTGTGGCCCCCTCCCTCCTTGATCTTTGGTGGTGGTGCTGCCCCAACAATTTTATGGTTGGGGGAGGGTCGGGTTAAGTTCCTCCCCCCCCCCGCCCCCACCCTACGTTAACTTATGCGCACCCGGTGATGGACGCACCAAAAGTCTGCTATTACCTATATCTTACAGACCAGTCGGCACTTTGTAGGTGATGTGGTCAGCATAACCCCGGCCCCCGTTACTTCCCAGGCCTTTAACTGGTACCTATTTAACCCTGGGAGCTAAAGTCCGTTTTTTAACGGGACAAAGGTCCGGCTCCGTGAGGACCCGAACCCATGTCCTTCCGATCCGCAGGCGAGCGTCTAGATGGTTCACCACGGCGGCTGCCGCTCATTATATATATCCCGACCCCTAAATACAAGCGCTAGTTAAGACCATGAGTCAGATAGACCGATTTGGTTCATCTGTTGTAAAATGCTTGTTGGGAAAAGGGGGAAAAGGGGGGGGGGGGGGCCTATTGAATTATTAAGTAATCACTCTTTTTGATTACAGACACTGTGCCCTGTCCCCATTGTCCTAGACTCTTCCGGGCACGTCCTGGACGTATATCACCTCCGGACTCAAAAAAATTCAACTGCAGTGACATGACGGATGAAAGAAAGAGTGGTCCTCATCACTTGTGATGGACGAACGAACAATCACTGCTTGTATTTACCATCAGATGTTTGTAGACGTGAAGGATGGTTGGGGGAGGGGGGGGGGGGCGTGGGTGGTCTTTGAGCATTCAGTGTAATGTAGTCACCATGGACATAACTTTTGCCCCGAAAGATTAATAAAAAAAATACAATAAATCAATAACCTTATCAGGGATTTGAACCTGTGTCTTCCACATAAAAGCTTAGCTTCTTAACCGTTCGGCCAGCCGAATGAAAGTATAAATATATAATACTAGATGTGCTGTGAATTTTACGAGGTTAGGGGTGCATCTATTCTGCTTTACCCATTTACAACTTTTTTACTAGGGTTTGGTCCCCCCATGATGAATTTTTTGCTCTGCACACAGTTTTTACAAGGCAAAAACAATCATTTCAGAAAACATAATAAAAAAACAAACTAAAGCCAGCAATAGGCTTAATAGATGATGGGGGCCAAGCAAATGAAAAGGTGGGGACACACATGCCAAATTTTAAAAATGTTACATTGTCTCATTATGACATCACCATGTTCAGCTGCACCGTGATGTCATATGCTTATCAATCTTGACATCCTCAACATCAATGCTGACAGGTTACAGTTAACGGCATAGCTACTGTAATTTCCACCACAGTGTAAAGGTTTTCATTTGAAGCCCTTTGTACAACAGTGACTGCTAGAAAAAGACAGCTAGAATACATCTAAACTAGAGACTTAGGAAAAGCCTTTGAGTATTTTGGCTAAATAAGATCACAAATGAATTGAAGAGAGGAAAGCAAAATGTTCACTCCTGGCAGAAATTGTCAGCAGAAGAAAATGGAGACTTAATGAAAAGTGGAAAAAGCAGCAGGGAAAAAAGGAAATAACGGAATGCAAAAGGACATGTGATACCTTGGGTACAAAAGTAGCAGATCAGCAGCATCTGAGAGATCACCTGTGAATGCCTCATGCGTAAACAATGACAAGATGAGGATATAGATTAACAGAACCCAGAATTTTAACATTTCTAAGTTAAAGTAAGAACTTTTTAAAACAGAAAGTTAACGTATTACCTATTTGGAGCGTATGAGAGTTAAAATGTTGGTGTTCAGAATTTCCAAGCACAAGCATGGATGATAAATGGTCAATAATTCTGAACTGAATATTTTTGTTTCATATTGTCTGGTATATAACCCATAAGTAACATGAAAATAACATGTAACTTGAAAAGTTAAAAATAATTTATCCTTTGGCTTTAACTCTTTCAGTCCCTGTGTGGGTTCCAGCGCCCCATTTAGAGGAGGGGAAAAGAACAGATCCACTGTACCCTGACAAGCATGTCATATAGGGCAACTAATCAGGGTGAACTCAGATGTGTTAGGGCTGAAAGGAGGATATCCAATAGGAGATGTAAATCCCAACATGTGATAACCACCCCTTGGGGTGGGAGGGGGGGGGGGGAATGAAGGAGTCCCACATGTTTTTAATATAGTATGCATGAACGTAAAAACAGCTACAATTAATACATTTGAGGACACAATTACATAGAAACAGCAAAAATACAATTTTCATAAACATATGCTCTGTTGCATGGTCTGGAGTGTAGAGGAAGAATGGCAGAAAACAGTGAGACAGAAACTATGTACATAAAGAGTTGAAATGGTCAGATCAGACCAATAAGATGGTGAAGAAATAATATACAGGCACCCCTGTGTGGGTCCTAGGGCCCCACTGCCTGCCCAAAAGCATGTTGCAAGAAGTAATTAATGTGTAAATAAATATTATTTACACTAATGCTTGAAATAAATGTAGAATTTTGAATCTAATTGAATCAATGTAGAGTTCTATACATGAAAATAAGCTCTAAATTTTCTTGTAGCAAAAAAATTGATTTAATTTAGACCTGGTCTCATTTTCAAGGAAACCCGGTAGAAAACTGGAGTCAGATTCTACAACATGCGCCCCAGAGGCTCATGACCTTTTGATGTCAACCACAGACAAGTTTCCTAGTTTGTGTTACAAAACATGTCCTTTTGCTGCCAACCATAGCAACCTTGATTAATTACGTTAGGAAATTATTACCTTTCGATGTCAACGACAGCAACATTTGTTGTTTGTTTTTGTAAATTATGTCCTTTTAAAGTTAACCATAGCCATCTATGATGTTTGTGTCAGGAAATTATGTATGTCTAATATGAAGGAATAAATGTACACATACTATTTCAAACAATAAATAATTGTATATGATGTTTCCTATATTCTAATATGTATGTATTTCATAGTTTTGTCTAACATATTTTTATACGTTCCTCATAAACATACGAGTGTAAATTAACTCTTTCTGTCAAAATAGCATCAATCATTTACAATCCCTGGTGTCCCAATCAATGGGGTATGCATAACTGCACTTCTCACATTTAGTTTTTAGAAAAATTAAAAGATAAAAATAAAAAGGGGGGGGGGGGGGGGAAGGGAGGGGTGTAAATAAACTGCACCAGGTTTTATCCTACGAGGCCCGTCATTTCATCTGCAAAGTGTCACACACAAAAAACATACTCTGCAGCTCCAGGAACAATCCTCAAGAATTTTTAAAATAAACCTGTGCTTGTGGACCAAACACGGTCCAAAAATGAACCCATGGCCTTCAAACCTTGAGAGCAAAATTTCAGCCACGCTGCTACAGAATCATTCCATCAATTGCATATTTTGTTTTTATTTAGCCATGTTAACACAATACCCTTGCGATTTTCTTTTTCCCTCCACCATGTGTATGTGCAAATGTATGTGTTTGTGTGAGAGATTGTGTGTATGCGAGAATGTAATGTGTGTGTGTGTGCGTCTATTTACATATATATATATGTATACATATCATCATCATCATCAGGTGCCTTGTCGACTGGCGTGGGCGATCATGCCTCTCTATAATCTGCGATCTCCTGCAGCATGTATGAGTTTGTGTGCCGACACACCTCCATGCCATGCAACAAGACTCAAGTATCTTCTCTCGTTGTCTTCCTCTCTCTCTCCTTCCACTATCTTTCACAACATGTTCTGTTTTCCCTCTTCTCATAACATGGCCGAAAAATGATGACTGTCTCCTTCTGATGTCTGTGATAAGTTGTCTTCGGGCTCCCGCCTCTTTCAAAACCTCCATATGTTAAAACTGGATGTATGTAGCAAGCAAGAATTCTTTTTCTAACTCTCAATGACAAGGATATATTGCACAAGATGTTTTTCATTTTTTAAATGGAGTTTTTGCCTGTCCTATTCTCTTTCTTATCTCAGTTATGCATCTTCCATCTGATTTTATCCATGTGCCCAGATACTTAAATTTCTGTACTTGTCCTAAAATAACACCATCAACTTTTATTACACATTTAGGAATAATTCGTTTCTTTGATACCACCATTACTTCTGTCTTCCCATTATTCAAACTGAGGCCCATTCTTCCACTTTCTAACACCACAATGTCTATCATTTTCTGTAGTTTTTTTCTGACTTGTTGCTATCAAGACTGTGTCATCAGCATAACGTAAATTGTTTATATTGTGTGTATATATATATATATATATACACACACACACACGTGTTTATGAGAATGTGTATGAATGTAATGTATGAGTGTGCATATGGTTTACTGTCTGAGAATATGTGTGTGTATGTGAATGCATCTGCCATCCATGCTTTTGTGTTTCTCCCTTTAGATTCATACTATGTATATTTTTTTAAAGATAACATGCTCAACAGATAAAATACAAATGTTGTGTGCAAGATGTGTCTGGAAGGGTCAAAGGTAAGATTGGCCAGTGTGTCAAATTTGTGACCCTTGGAAAATAAAAGTTCGTTTGTCGTTCATTTGGGCAGCTGCTGATACTTTCCTGGACTAAAAAAAAGTTATCAATGCATTAAAATAATGGATGCCCCAAAAAAGAAAAACTGAATAAATTCCTGAACAGTCTGTGTCCTAAACACGATATCCCAAGGTCGTTGGCTAGTGACTGATCCCACGTAGCAGCAATCAAATGTTTCATCACGCTTGGCGTAGCTTTGTGATAGCAAATCTTTCTATGTCATCCAGACTTAGACTGTAAAGGTTTCGCTCAAATTCCTGAAACAAAAATAAACGGACTCAAGAATGTAAGAAATTCTGCTTTTGAGCTTTGAAATTTGCATTACATGACCCACTCACTTTTTAGCAGTTTATGATATGCATGACGGCATGGTAGTTTGTGCTTCTGTATGTTGAGACAAGGTTCAACCTCCAGAAATGACCAGATGTTGAGACAAGAAGGTCCAACCTCCAGAAATGACCAGATGTTGAGACAAGAAGGTTCAACCTCCAGAAATGACCAGATGTTGAGACAAGAAGGTTCAACCTCCAGAAATGACCAGATGTTGAGACAAGAAGGTCCAACCTCCAGAAATGACCAGATGTTGAGACAAGAAGGTCCAACCTCCAGAAATGACCAGATGTTGAGACAAGAAGGTTCAACCTCCAGAAATGACCAGATGTTGAGACAAGAAGGTTCAACCTCCAGAAATGACCAGATGTTGAGACAAGAAGGTTCAACCTCCAGAAATGACCAGATGTTGAGACAAGAAGGTTCAACCTCCAGAAATGACCAGATGTTGAGACAAGAAGGTCCAACCTCCAGAAATGACCAGATGTTGAGACAAGAAGGTCCAACCTCCAGAAATGACCAGATGTTGAGACAAGAAGGTTCAACCTCCAGAAATGACCAGATGTTAAGATAGATCAAGGTCCAACCTCCAGAAATGGCCAGATAGATTCTAACCAGTAAGGCTCTGAAGTTGGTGCAGCCTGTTACAAACAAATAGCAGATCTTCTTTCTTAGTGTTCCCTGGCTGTAAACTCAGGTGGAAAGTTATGTGATAGTTGGTCCACTTCTTTACCTCAGTCTTGTTCCAGAACTTGAGTTTTGCATGCACATCCATTTTACATATCCAGCTTTTTTTTAAAATGCAGACTGTTGGTTCCTTGCCTTAGGCAGATGCATCCTGACTTCAAAGTAACACCACTAATTAGTTTACTTTTATGACACGCCTGTTTTGGGGCAGTGGGTTTAGTATACCCACCAATAATGAGGCTCCGGAATCCACACATGGAGTGTAACATCCCTTTTACAGATCTGACTTTGCATGCAGACTGTTGGTTCCTCGTCTCTCAGGCAGACGCACTCTGACTTCAAGGAAACCCCCCAATCAGTAGACTCTTATGACATGCTTGTTGGGGAGGCAGTGGGTCTATTCTTGCCCCCCCCCCCCCCCACAATTGGAGCCCAGAACCCACACGTGGGGAAAATTGATTTATTTCTTCTTGGTGTTCACCAGCTGTAAACCCAAGCAGAAAGTTTTTGTTGTTCATCCACTTTTGGAATTTGATTATGTTGCTGAACTTGGGTTTTTTGTGTACAAACATATTAAAAATCGGGGGGGGGGGGGGGGGGGGGTGCAGACTGCTGGTTCATCATCTCCCAGGCAGATGCACTGACTTTGATGAAAAAACCTTAATTAGTTGTCTTGTACGACAAACTTGTTGAGAGTTTGGGGCTGTGGATCTTTTTTTCTCTCTCCCCAAAATGGGCCTCAGTACCCACATGGAGAACCAATACACTTCGCATAGGGTAAGCTTCTTCAAACTAATTTACTGTGGGTTTTTTAAGAGCTTGTCAGAGTTTTTAAAAAAAAGCCATTTAGTTCATCACAAGGAAACTCCATAACTGCTATTCGTAGTTAATATATTCATATCCAGGCATACAAAACACTACACAGGTATAACTAGAAAACAAATTTAACTACATTTTATTAGAACTGGCCATTGCAGACATGCTGATACATCAGTGTTTACAGGCAATGTGTCACAACCGGAAGTAACTTGATTTAGTTTTCTCAAGATTTCAACAAGATTAGGGTTTTTGTTGTTGTTGTCTTTTTGTTTGTTTTGGCCAAGGTATTCAAAGAAGTGTATTCATAATGTTCAGTTTGCATAAAGTTTTACCTGTGAAAATGTTCCATAAAAAAAAAAAATTAAACACATTTAATTCATTGACTCTCCTCCGAATGATGGGTCTGAATGATCACGTTCAAAAACATACTCTTACAGGGGCTCAATTGGTTTGCTTCTGTCTGAGTTGCATTAATAACCCATTAGTTGTTTGAGTGTTAGGTTAGGGTGTGTGTGTATATATATAAAGTTGGCAGGTCTAACATCTACAGCTGCCAGCTTTTCAATCAGTAGAACATTATTGCTAATCTGTGTCACAGCTGATGGTCTGTCTGAAATTTTAGCTGCAAATAAATCCTAATTTTACATATCATAAGGCCCTGTTATGGTATATTTTTAAATGCGATCACTTAGACCCATCATTTGGAGGAGAGCCAAATCGTCTATTCCCCGTGAGGATTCCGGGGCCCCAATGTGGAAAAAAACATAAGAAAAGACCCACTGCCTTCCCAACAAGCATGTTGTAGAAGTCGACTGACTGCAGACTTCCTTCGAATCAGAGTGCATCTGCTCGAGTAGCAAGGAACAATTGATTGGACACAAATAAGCCAGTAAAATGGATGAACACGCAAAACTCAGGCCCTGGCACAAAACCAAAATAGACAAACAACCATGACTTTCTGCCGGAGCTTACAGCCGGAGAACGAAGAAGAAGAAAAGAAGAAATCATCTAGCATTCTACTACCATTAATACATAGTAACTGGTATCAAACTACCTTTTTAAACTCCTGCAGGACAGCTTCTACATCCCGTTCCCTGAAGTGTCTTCGTAAAAATACCCTCATTTTTTCCCACACAGGCCTCTCGGGCTCTGTCGGGCTAGGCACTTGTGGTGATGTTGGGTTAGAGGAGTCTAAAGTCTTCAACGTTGACTTCTTTACAACAAGTGTGATTTTACAACTGTCTTCAACACCGTAGTCTTTCAGAGGCTTGGCATCTGTGCAAGATTAAAAGAAATTTAAAAAAAAGCTCCAAAAGTTACATAAACTAAAAGATTAAGATAAGCGTACAAAATTCAAATTTAAGGTTAATTAAGCAATTCAACAAAATACCCCTCAAGATTCACAGAGATATGCAAAGGTGTGCATCAAAGAAAGTTTCAAGATTTGCAAAAAACACAGCTGCATGATTCAAAATGATATGCACAAATTAAAGTTGTAAGATCTATAGCGATATTCACAAAATACAGCATCAAGATTAATAAAGATATACATACACAAATACAGCTTCAAGATTCATAGAGATATGCACAATCAAATACAGCTTGAAGATTCCGAGATATACACACACACATACAAGCACAGCTTGAAGATTCACAGAGATATGCACAAAATATAACAAGATTCACAGAGATATGCACAAAATACACAAACAAGATTCACAGAGACATGCACAAAATACAAAAACAAGGTTCACAAAGATATGAACAAATGACACCAACAAGTTTCACAGAGATGTGTATTACATACAGCTGCAACATCACACAGCCATTTCTACTTCCCAGGACATTACCTGGTACCTCTTTTAGGCTGGGTTGACCTGGGAGCCAGAGACAATTTCGATGAGTGTTGCTTTGATATGGATTTGAACTTCTGACTGACAGGCGCTGGTCTAGTCACTACCAAGGCTCCTAAACAAGAAGAAAGGAAACAATCTATTTTTTTGTGCTTACCTAAGAGTGCTTTGCCCTTGAAAAGCAATTTCTGATCTGCCACTGGTATAGACAATAGAGCCTGCACCTGCTCTTTGACATCGCTCACAAGACTGCTGGGTGAAGCCTGAAATAAAACATTGCCATCATCACTACAATACCACACAAACATGCAAGCACTTTAGGGCAGATCCACAGGGTTGCTCCGAATTTTGGTGATGGAGAATGGTTTGGGACTGCTAACATTATCTAAACTAAATAGAGAGGTTTAAACGCATTTAAAATGAAGCCATGTGAGTCATTTTGTAGTGTACAGGAGACATGCCAATTGTGTGCATGTGGCACATACTTGCATTAACATCCAAACATGAGAAAATTCGTTCATGAGGTGAAAATGTCCTTTTAAGTCGCAACGGACAGAGAACACCTTATGCACGAGGCCTTAAGGGATGGCAAGTGACAACAGCTGAAAAGAAGTGGCTCTAGGATGGCACAGGCTGATGTCACGATCAAAACAGTTTGTGCTACTGACAAGATAGTGTGTGGTAAAGAATGGGTTACAGTACCATCCAACAAAACAGACTTGCACAGAGTGAGTTACATAGGACCAAGGGTACTGTGTGGTTAGGTGGTGAAACAAGACAGCGGTGCAAGAGCTGATCAATAAAAATTCCTGCCATGGTGACATCATAATATATAATGAGCAGGCTGACAGATTGGTTGCTGCCACTCCTCTGGGCGGTGACCTACTATACCAAAAAGTGGACATAGTGGAGAACAGATAGGAAATCCATACACTGAATGACTAATTCAACGGGGGTGGGTAGAGAGGCTCTGGAAGATATTGAACATTAAAAAGGAAACAGAGGCAGACTTAATCAGGTTGCAACTGATACTTTTTTAACTTTTCGTTAGTTACTAAAAAAGGGGACAGAGCCTGTGTGGGAATGCCCCGAGTGCAGTGATGTATCTGTGATCCTGCTAGTGAAACATGCGTTGGGACAAACTTAGTTCTAAGAAGAATATGCCTCCTAGTGAACTTTGATAATAATTTAAGGTGATAACCGTTCTTTACCGTTTAAGGTAAAAAGAGTGCTAACCTTTCTATATTATCCCATAAAAATACTATGTTACTTAGAAATTTCGGTGTTATGTTTAGGATGGATTCTTTTCTATATGGCTCGTGGCCAGGTTGGTCACTCTAAATTTAGTCTGTGGATCAAATAAAGTTGCCCAACCCTGATCTCATTATAATCAATGGATATGTCGCTGTGAAAGGAGATGAAAGAGACAACAGATTGGCTATGTCTGCAGTGGTTAGTGGAGGAATCAGTATGGAAGTGCAGACACACTGAATGCATTGCATTCCAGAAATATTGAAACAAAGGAGTCCGAAACAAACAGCTAGTTGGAAATGGGTGTTAAACATGGACAAGCATGCAATAACTGAGTGTGAATCACATACAACACAAAAGAATCTGCTTATTAACTCCTAATGTACTGGGTACAATGAACATGGAGACATATGGCTGCTGCATCCTAGGACAGAGCACAGATGTTGGACCAATTTGCTAATCTGTCAGTGAAGACAAATAAATAATACATAATCATTGGATATGCGTTCCAAGTTACAGTCTCAGACTCGTCATTCAATAAGAAGGATTCATGATACACACCCACTCTTTCTATTTCTAGACCCGGCAAAATAGTTTTCATAACTAGTGATTCTATAAAAAGTTAGAAAGCCTGCAAAATGTTTGTACAGACAATAGATCAAGCAGGTGCCATTTTCATAATGATAATGAAGGTTGGCTACAAATTATTTCCAACACTGTCTCTGGTCCTAGCTGTTAGTGTTACTGTACACTCACTGAGAATGTGGTCTGTCCATATTCTGTTCACTTGTTTCTCACACTCACTTGTCTTTGACTTTTCCTTTTAGTATATTTTATTGAGTGTTACGCTCTGTTATGAGGAACGACCTTTTTTTTTTCAAATCTGCAGCTCTCTTTTCTTTCTTTAGTAGTGAATTTCTACTTTCTCACTGACTCATTTCACATTCAAATTGTCATTCGATCTGCACTACTTGACTAACTAATCATCGACAATTAATATGTCAGTTTTAAATTTCCCTTCTTTTATTGTAACCTTCTTACCGTACTAGAATTGGGTTTATTGACATAATAAGTCGCATTTCATGGAACGAAAACTGTCATCAAATACTTTACTTTATTATTTTATACCAGAAGGTTTGGCAAATCCTCCTGTAAATTAAAACTGAAAGCCCTTTCGTTTTCGAATTTGTTTTAAAAAGTTGCATTGATTGACAGGTCAAATACTTACCGCTAATGTACATTCTTCCCCGTTTAATATTTTCACTGTCAGATGCATTATAAGTGTGTATTTAAAGTATATGTTGTGTTTGTTCTCAGGACAATACGCTAACTACACCCCGTCCACTACACAAGAGCTGGATAAGGTAGCCAGAACTGAGTCTCACTCACAACATTGCCAGATAACGCATGGTTTCCGGTCTCAATTTCTGCGTGGCGTTCCTCTCGTTGACTCATTTATCTTTCGTCACAAGCATTAAAAAAAAATAAACATTGATTACTATTTACTATATTGCAAGAAATATGAACTCTTAACGACTTTCCTTAACGAAAATATGAGCTGCCGCAATATGATTATAATAGGTGCGCCGAAACCTGGGAGCTCATGCCATGGGCGCAAAAAAAGGCATGCGGGTCGCATTGGGTGTCATCATTAAGGGGATGACGAAATGGCAAAATATGTGAGTTTTGACATAATAAATATGTGCATGTGTGTGCGGCAATAGAGGCTAAGACCTTATGGGTCTTGATTTGCATACCATTGTTCCCACTGATTCATCGATTCAGTCTAAAACATATACTAGGAAAATTGTTTCCAAGTCAAGGCCATCTGCCTCTTCTTCTTCTTTTTCCACCTTGTACTTCAGTGAAGTGTCGGGGGTTTGGGGGGGGGGGGGGGGGGTAACGTTATTTGATGAGCTCTGTCGAAAGCATTATTTAGACTGATGTTCATTTCTGTAAATCTGTTCTTAATGCCATCACTCTATGATTTCTGAGGTCTTCCGCTCGCTGTATACCCGTTGTAACTTTCAGTATGATTCAATGTGGTAGATTATGATAATCTACTAGATAGTACCAGGGCATTTTTGTTAGGTGACCAAACCACTTCATTTGTTGTTCTTTGAAGACCTGTAAGACTGACTTTATTCCTAGCATTCGTCTAATCTCTTTATTTCGTACTCTGTCTTTCCTCGAAACTCCTGCAGACGTCTGCAAGATGTCGAAACATCAGTGATGGAATGTTAATTGGTCTTGAAAATATCGTTCTGAAAAGAACTTGAGGCATAAAGGATAAACCCTTTGGCATTAACTATTTCAGTCCAAAGCAGATGTTACATTTAACCTCTTTTATCAAAAAGGGTTTGGCTTAAAAGCAGTCCACTATTAGGTCCGAAGAAGTTTCACAGAGGGACTTGTATATAGGAAACAGTGTAGTTGGGCTAATAGTTAGATACAAAGTGTTTTTATACAAGAAGCGAAAAGATGATTTTTTTTTTTTAACTGGAGGAGTTCAGAAAAGACATTGATTAAGCGCTGCTGTCGTGAGCTTTTGAAGGTCTTAGCCACTATGTGTTTGACCTGCCCTGTGAATCCGATTCAGAGTTGAGAACCAACAATGCGCATTATTCTAGGGTGCACTGGAGACACCTCTTGTGTAGCAATGAGGTACCTTCTTGACTTCCCTACCATGAACTACAGGATCAACATCTGGAGGGCTCTTCAAGAAAAAAGGGCAATAGGATTAAAAGGGGCAAATCATGGCTGGGTAGGGCAGAGGATGACATCATGCAGGGTTGCTGACTTACAGACATCCATCCAGGTGAGAAGTGGATACCAGAGTCTAAAGCGCCCAATCTCACATTCTTCTGTGTCGTCACGCTCGGTAGGAGTTTTCGTGAGTAGAATCCAGTTGCTGTCAATGCCGAGGTATGCGCGCTTATCGGTGAAAAGTCAGATGAGACAGATGTGGTGATCTTCACAGACGGGTCCATTATACGAGGACATCATTGCAAAATTCTCATGTGTGTGCAGTTACTTTCATGGATCACGCAGACATTATCATTGCCCTTAGAGAGATAGGACTTTTGAGGATTTTGGAAGCAACGTGTCCACATCACTGCTAAGAATACGAGAATTGGCACAGTCAAGCATAAGATGCACACTGGACGCACATTTAGTCTTGTTAACCAACATAGGACTGGTACTATCAACCGCACAACGCTGATGGATATGTTGAGAGAGGAATCCTGTTCGCCTATTGATGTGTCCGGAGTGTTGTGAAGATAATCCAACGCAGAACTTATAACTCAGAACCAACAACATGGTCATGAAGGCATTCCCATCTTCAGCTTTCCGCGTAGAGTTACAGTTCATGTTCTTCCTCTCGTTCACTTCTGGACTTTGTTATTGTTCCAGAACTTGAGTTTTACGTGCACAACCGTTTTACAGGCCTGGTCTATTTGGATGCAAACTTTTGGCTCTACGCCTCTCAGGCAGATGCACTCCGATTTTGAAAGAGTCATCCCTAATTAGTCAACTGTTACGATTTTCTTCTTATGTAGATCCTTGACCATCAATCTTGAATTGCAGGGCAGAAGTGACCTATGTGATAGACCAAAGCTATTTGCGATTCCTATTCTGACCATAAGTTCAAGATCACATCATATTGTAATCGATATAATACTCATCAGCTGTCCTTTTCTCCGTTTCCCAGTCCAGGCTACAACCTTACGATTTAACCCAGGGCTTTTATGCTAAGTTTATTCAGGGGCCATAATTTTGAAAATGGGGCTGTCAAGGGGCAGAGGCCCGAGCCTCAGTATATAAAGATCATTTATACATTAATTAGTTAGTTGGGTTATCACCATTGCATACCGGACATGTCCATGGGTGCTCAAATCCTTTCCTCGGTATGAACCCTAACGTCCGATGGCTAATAGTACCAGTTCTAAGTTAATTAACAAATCCTCTGATGTGTCTGGTATGCGTATCGTTTGTTTGTTTGTTGCTATGCCGATCTTAACTTTCAAGTGTATCTTTCTGGCGACTGAAATGGATTCACTACCCCCCCCCCCCAAGTCTTCCACCCTTCCCATTTATCGGAGGGCATTAATAATATCATAATCCACAGGTTGACCGTCGATATAGATGATCCAACCAACCTATAAGATCATTTATTTCCATCGACACCCGCGTATCCAGGCATGAAAATAAAGGGGACTCCACGCACAGTGGACTTCTGTAACGATTTAAGCCATTGCTCTCGCACAGAACCTGTCTGAACCCTCCATATCTACTCGTTGAATCACTGAGTACACTTGCGCGGGTGTAGTTTTATGTTTCGAGGTTGCTGAGAGGGCCTCGAGCTGGTATGTGCAGATCAGTACGCCTGCCTCTTCTGATTTTTCACTGATGAGTGCGTTGACTTTTGCATTGACAGTAACAGAATTATGCTCCATGCTCTTGCTAGACCTAATGGCTCGAGGGCGGCCAGATGAGCAGCCCTGAGTTTACCCATTTTCATCCCTATGAATTTAAGCATCTCATCCCGACTGACAAACCACAATCCCAGAGACCATGTGCAACCCCCAAACTAAGCTATAATTGGGACATTGCCAACGTCTACAAAAGCCTGGTGTAACCTGCCAGCCCCGAGTAACGGGTGGATGTCACAGTTACTTTCCTCAGCTGTTGTCTCATTTCAAAGTTATTTTTTCATGGAGTTAACAACAGCATGATAATTGTAAGAGGTGGTCAGACATACAAAGATAGTCAGAGATTTCCTAAAATGTCTTCATTGAAATCAACAAACTAAACTGTGCGGTGCTTTCGTCTTTTATAGTAGATATTTAAAAATGAAAGACTGTTCAAGTCATTGGTATACATTTTGTTTCAATAAACACCTTTCACTGGTTGACTGACTGACTTTCTTTCTACCCCACTTGGACATCACACAAGCGATAAACACCCGATGACACAAAGTGCCACCATGTGGATGAGGATCGCCGTGGAGAGGTCCCAGAAACCGCGTTCAGACATTTGGCCATATTTATGGCCTGCCTATAATGCGGCCCCTGGCAAAAGCCAGGGTGGGGCTTCAAATAACAAAAATTTTCGTCCTAAAAAGGACAAAACTACTGATATAATTTCACTGGTTATTCACCCTATACTAATTAATACCTGTGACTAACAGACATGTCTAGTTCAGTTTGTCAGTTGATATCTCAAAAGTTATTACTTTGTGTTGTACAATAAGTAGAAACATTGTTATGTCTTTATTTCTATATGAATTATATTCTAACTGTTTATTAATCTCCCTCTTTTTTTTTTTTAAATGGGAGATCTTCACTTTAAAAGCTTTCTTTTAATCTACAACCTGTGACCTAAATGGAACTACTAACCAGGTCAAGAAAATATTCCGTTTATTGCTTACCCTCCCGATCTGTATCCTATAAATATAAACATATTAGCATTAAAACTTATTTATTTCTTTAACAATTACATAAATAAACATAAAATACAGTATCAAACTTATTAAAATCATATTTTATAAAATATATCAAAACATTCTAAGTTAAAATGTGTAAATACAGAAAACATTATAAAAACCCGGCGCAGAAAGACGGAAGAGCCGACCAGACGACATTCTTCGCTGACTGGCTGGAGTTGCTGCGTTTTCACTGGCTCGCCATGGACCAACCAATTTGAGCTCAATCATCGAGGTTTGTTGTTATTATCTATGTAGCCACTAGATGACATGTGCGGACACTTTGATCTGCCACAGCAATCAAACTTCGGCTTCTGTTTTGTGTTAATTAATTATTGGTATTCCCACCTCGTTGCCCGCGAAGTCAACAAGGAGCTTGGGTAGAACAAAGCCATCATGGCGACTTTTCGAAGGAAACTGCAGCTTCAACCAGCGCACCTTCATGGGGAATTTATCGGTGTGTGTAACTATGCAATTGTAGACTGTTGGTCATCTGTGTGATGGAAGTTTTATTCGCTGTAAAGTTTTTTTTTTTTTTAGATAGGAAGTAATTTACAAATTATATGTTGTAGAGGCATATTTGATGTTTTGTGCGTTGCCACGTTTTCCATACATTTCATTTTGGATTATCGTAGTAACTCTAACTAGTAAAACTTCCTGATGATTTTTTCTCATATTTTTTTCGGGTTTCTATCGTATCCGGACTATCCGATGTTTCAGTTTTTACTGGTGTTTTTTTTTTTTTTTTTTGAGATTACTGTCTCTTTACTTTAACTCTTAGTACTACCAAACACATTGTCATTACTACTTAACTTTTTTTTATGACGCATTGAATGATCTCTCATGGAATTAGTCTCCAAGACAGAAAATGTCCTATCTTATCCACTGTTTATATGACAGGACATCTATCCTTAGAATAGCGGCACCCCCTCCCCAGTGGAGCGAGGCTAAACTAGATAGCAGCTTCCGCATCTCCTACAATTTTGCTTGTGAGTCCAAGCAATCTAGCTTAGCGCCGCACGTACTGCGAGGGAGATACTCTCGGTGGTGGCGGTATAGTCGCCGAAAGGCCGCAATTTACATGTGACTGAGGCCTTGTTTTTGGCCGCTATAATATGTGGCCGTAATTTAGAGGATAGCCGACAGGACCAATTAATCAACAGTTGGTATCTCTTTATCTCTTGCAGATACATACGCTGACAAAACCTGCTACTGTTTTGTTCTGAAGACTTTTCTTCAGTGGAGGATAAAAATAAACCAGGTAAGTTTAAATGTTTATGTAATTTTCGTTTACAGTATTTTTTTCTTCCCTTTGGAGCTGCCGATGTGTAGCAGCTAGACACTCGCCTGTGGATCGGAAGGTCATAGGTTCAGCTCCTGACAGAGCCTAACTTCTTCAAGTGACCTTGGCTCCTAAGTCAACCCACCCTTAAATGGGTACCAGGTGCCGTCCAGGGAAATAGAAGCAGCCAGTGTGTTGCTGACCACATCACCTATTGAGTGCCGATTGGTGTATAAAATATAGGTCTAACCCTATATGACCAGTACACTGAAGGGCTTGGAAAAGGGTCCTTTACTTTTATTTTTCTTGATCTCCTTAAACCTTCGAGTCACTCACACATGGTCCCTGTCACACCATGCCTTCCCCATTTTTTCCATCTCTGTCTATCCCCATGTAGCATCTGAGACATAGTTTTAGACAGAAAAAGAAAGAATAAACCCACCGACACCACATTTGCTGAAATAAAATGTTCAGGACTGAAAGATACAGATATCACAATCTAGCTGTATACTACAACATTATTGTCATTATATACCACATTCCATTATAAGGGTGAACCCTGAAGAAGATTTTATCTCTGTATGTAATTCTTCGCTCAGTAAAAATATTCCATCCTAGTACCTGTGTGAATTTCAGTTCAAAAACATTCTAGTCATACTAATGTTTTCTTATTTTGTGTCCAATCCATTGCCAATACTTTTTCTCACCTCCTGTTTCAGTTTCTTTAACCATACTGAATGAAATCTACATATGACCCAATCTTCATAGCAGGAATAGAGAAATGAATATACATTCCCACAAAAGCTAAATAGTGACTTAAAAATTAATGACAGACATACAAAAATGATCTTTTTACAAATAGATTGCAATGGTTACAGCATATAGAGAGAAACAGAAACCACACAAAAGAGTTGAGTGGGTTCAGGCCACAAGGCAGCCCAAGAAGACATAGAGAGATAATAGACACAGAGATGATTGGAAGCAGGTTATATTTTCAGCAACTGATCTCAAAGGCTTGGAATGCTAAATAAAGAAGAAGATGCAAACAGAATATGCTTGTTGTGACTATGTGAGGTTTAGATGTTGTTCAATGGAACTGAGTTGCAATCCATTGAAATAATAAGTATCATCTGCTGGAAAACATGTTTAATGTGAGCAAGTGAAGTTGAACCCCTATAAGACTGAATACTGAGCGATTACAACCAGGTGACTCTGAGAACCCTATTCAGATAAGAAATTTGCAAATAAAACACCAAAAAATTGAACTAATTGACAGGTTAATAAACAGCTTTATTGATGGTCCTTGGTCTGTTAGGGGGTAAATCACAGAAATAGATGAAGAATCTAGAATGTCTTTTTTTTTTTGGTCCACTAATTAGAATGTTCATGTTAACTAAATGTATAAACTTTATCCTGTGCAGTTATAGATGTCTTGAATCTTTTCCTCCACTCTGTCATATACAATCCTTTCAGTATCATGGATGGAATCTGTTTCAGCCTCTTAACGTTTGTCTTGAACTGAAAATCATAATTTAGGTTGAGAGTTAAAAGTGTTCCTTTTTTTTTTTAAATTTTCAGTTTTGGTAATCTTGCTGCCTCTGGTTCCTCGAAGATGAACGACAGTCATGATGGCAGCGATGATGCTCATCTGGAGCCGATTATGTCACAGGGAGGCTATGATATGGATGGAGGTATCTTGGCATAGGCAGAAATTTGTTTGCAATATTTTATGATCATACAAATTTTAAAGTATTTGTTATGTGGCACAGTGATTTCAGTAAGACACATGAGAACAAGTTAGAGCTGTTGTGATATGTTTAAGGAGATACTAGATACCTCACCTTGAGTGCCAGGAGGCTCTGCTGGTTTTACGTATCCTCATACAAAATTCCTGCCACACGTCCTTGTCCTGCGCTACTGATAGTGGCCTAGATCAGTTGAGCCAAGCTGGCAAAGGATCTCAGTGTGTGTGGTCCCCAGAAGTGCATTGCATAGAAATCCTCTGGCACTCAACCCACCTCCTGTGCATAGGCGATAACATATAATAAAGCCTTATTTGGAACATGAGTGAGGTTTGCTGGCTGTGTACCCCAGTAAACAATTAACTCAGGTTCACATGTCTCTCGCCTGAAAGTCCTAAATGGCTGCTTAGTTCAAATATTTGTTCATCAAGTGCCCTCCAGTATGACAGCAAAGGCTAGAAGGTCCTCACTTTGTGACAAAAGGTTTTCACATCCACTACCATTGGAGTGAAATTACCTTACTGGAAAGCCATGCCTGACACCGTTGACAAATAGAGAAAGCTAACACAGATAACAAATGATTCTAAAAGTCAGATATGTTGGCCGAAGTGTGTAAATATCACAGCTGTGCTGTAAACAGGCAAAGCATGTTTACGTCCTCGGACGAACGATGAAGAATATGTATTTATTTTGTTTTTCAAGCATGCATGTTGCGGAAGGTGATAGCATGGCATAGCTAGACAAAATTTTTGATTTGTGTAACCTTCAGACTGTATATCAATGTATTAACAGAAAATAGCAGTCACATTGAGCTTGTCATTCTATGTAATTTTCTGTGTTCAGGAATAAAAATATATGTATATATATATATATATATATATTTATATATATATTTCAAGTACTTTTTTCCCCCAGCGTCTCATGACAGAGACCTTTTGCATAATAATAGTAATAATTAAAGACTGTTGCACACAGTAATTTCTAAGAAGGAGTTATATGTTTTCTATTTTTTTTAAATCTTGTATTTCTTGCTTGTCTGTGGCTTAGGCATTACGAACGCGTTTCATAATGCTGGGTTCGATCCTAGCTGCAGACGATTTGTCTTCCGTTGGTTCAACAGTTGTACTGAGAGCTTACTGTTCAGAGCAGTGGCAAGCTACTGAACATAAAATTTGCCTAGACAAACCACAACAGCTAAAAAATGCTGGGTTTAGTTCTGCAACGTCATGTAAAAGATTTGCAACTAACTTTATTTCTTGCTTAGCAGATGATTTTACAAATTGCAAATGAACAGTGATTTCTCTTCTTTCTGGCTTAGTAGGTTTGTGTTGAAATGGTTGCTCCACATGTTTAAAAAACTAAATGTTGTTTATTTTCAAGAGGTAATTTGAATATTTGTTCCAGAAAATGGTGGGATGGGCTCTCCAGACATGGAGGAAGAAAAGCATTCTGATGAGCCTCTGAGAGAGCAGGTAATGAGACGTACTGTTGTGTTATGTATATTTGGAATGTCGATAACTCAGTAAGGTAAAGGTTGTTACAAGGCATTTACTGCTGTAGAGGTGTGAGTAGTTTGGCTTTGGGCGCATACAATCCTCAGACATTGCATGAATATTATACTAGAGGTATGGAAGATAGTTATGTGAGAGTAGTATAATGTCAAAGTAGAAAGTTGTTGTCTGATCCATTTAAGCTCACTGCTTTGACATATAAGATAGAGTGGCCAATCCCTTCCACTTAGGCTTTCCCTACTCTGGAGATGATCTCCCACATGTTGTTGGACAAAGTGGTCATACCAGCTGCATCCCGTTGTGTTGTTGTAGCTTCATTTTGGGGCTGCATTGTTTTGTCCAAGAGGTTTTGAAAGAGGCGGGAGCCCGAAGACAACTTATCACAGACATCAAAAGGAGACAGTCATCATTTTTCGGCCATGTTATAAGAGGGAAAATAGAACATGTTGTGACGACTGGAAAGATCTGTGGAAAAGGGGATACAGGAAGACAACGAGAGAAGATGCTTGACAGTTTTTTTGCATGACGTGGTGTGTCGGCACACGAACTGATACATGCTGCAGGAGATCGCAGATTATGGAGAGGTATGATCGCCCACGCCAGTCAAGGCACCTGATGGTGATTGTTTTGTCTATGGATATCCCCTGTGATTATCACTGTAGCTGTGAGGTTGATGATTTGCAGGACATTTACGCCAAGCAGCCACTCTGCCATGAGAGGCTTAGCTAAATAGGATCAGTTTCAAGAAATGACTCTCACCTCTTTTTTTCTTACTCTTTGGGATATAACGTATACCACTGTCTTGGCAGGAAGAGTCCTAACCGCTATTCCATCAAAGCCCACACAACTTACAGTACACAGAATAATTCACCACATGATAAATGTCACTATCATCATCATCATCAGTTCTCGTTATGCCTAGTGGCACATGAGGCTTCAGAGAGGACTTTCCATGCTTTCCTGTCCTGTGCAATCTTCAGTGCAGTTTTCCATATCAAAGATGCCACACTCAGGTCACTTTCCATCGTTCGTCTCCATGTTGTTTTTGGGCGCCCCTGTTTCCTTTCCCTCTAGTGTCCATGTGAGAGCTGTTTTGGCAGGTATATCAGAATTCATTCTCATAATGTGGCCAAGCCATTTCCATCTTCTCTTGGTTATCATACTGTCTAAAGTTTTTTGGTTTGTGACTTGAAGTAGTTTAGTAAATGTCACTATAAAAATGCATAAATGTAATGCTTAAGTCATTATCTATTCTTATTAGTGTATGCTATATTTCAGGATCGTTTCCTACCAATAGCTAATGTTGCACGAATCATGAAGAAAGCTGTTCCAACAACAGGAAAGGTATGTTCAGAAAATAAATATGAGATAAAACAAGGTTCCTATTTGTCTAGTTTCCTTCTGTATTGAAATCACTTGATACTCACACCAGCCTTACTGGTTCTTCTTTTCTCCTACTCTTCCGCCTTCTTCTGCAAAATTTTCGGTAGATGGAAGTGAGTCTAAGAAGTTGCATGTAAGATATGATAATTCTTGGGTAAACTTAGTCAGAGCTTTAGGCTTTGGCTCTGCACTTAAGGAAGCTTGAATGGATGGTAGAGTGCCTGTCTTTTGACCTTGCTTTGAAAACAGACTTGCATAGTTGTGACGGTTCTGAATTAGTTGTGAGGGGGATCACCTAGGCTAAAGGGCAAAGATAGGGCAATAGTGAGGCTATGTGGTGTTCCATGAAACTAATTTAAAAGGTCAAAAAATGCCAAATGAATCTGGGTTTGTCAGCGGAAAGGGGCAAATACCTTAGCCTTAAACAGACACAACACATTTTTGTTATTAAAAGAAAAAAAGAAAAAAAAACTGAAGAACAAGAAGAGCGCTCTGTTGCTGTCCTTGGGTTATTTAAAATATATTTTATGATATTGATTTTTATGAATATATAATGATATCTATAAAGCATGTGCCAGGGATTGTAGGTAGTGGTCATGTTATAATCTACATTATGCTGATGATACTATCTTGATAGCAACAGATCATAAAGAACTACATGAACAGATAAATATAATATTTGTTAAAAGCAAAAGAACTGATCTCAGCTTAAATAATGAGAAGACTGAAGTAATGTTGAAATCAAAATGAGAAATAGTGCCTCAGTGTACAAATTAGCAGAGTTATCTTGGGACAAATACAGACACATCAGATGAATGATGTTTGGTTGTCCTCATCCTGTTTCTCTTTTGGAGGAAAGTACTTAACTTTTAGTTGTGCACCCCCAGGTCGGTGTTTCCACCAGCACACAGGGCAGGCAAAACTGCATTTTATAGAATGGAGACGTGAAGAATGATGAAGACAAAACATAAAGATTCTTGACAGCCTTCTATCATGGCATGAAGAAGTGTCGGCACAGGAGATAACAGTGGGTGGACAGTATGATCGCCCAAACCAGTCATCAAGGCACATGATGATGATATGTTTGTATACATATACCTGTTTGTGTTTCAGATTGCCAAGGATGCTAAAGAATGTGTCCAAGAGTGTGTTTCTGAGTTCATCAGTTTTATCACAAGCGAGTATCCTTGCACATATAAACGTTTAAATAACCTCATTTATGTTAATCTTTTTTTGTGAAGATCTTATAACGGTCAGTGCTAGTCCTCTTTCAACAAAGATAGTGTAACATTTAGTACAGACTCATATACTTGAAACAGTTTAGGGACTGTATTTACGCCAATGATACATTGAGCATATGATGCTAGACTTGTGTTTTTATGTATAGATCAGTTGGCACTCTGGTGGTAATGTGGTCAGCATCACACCAGACTCTTTACTCCCCAGGACATTACCAGGGTTTACCCTGGGTCTATCTGTGCCTTTTGTGTTAGTTACCACATACAGCATAGATGTTTACTAAACTGTTGGGAGCATTGACATTAAAGGTAAACACTCCTGCTTTGTGCAGACAAAAAGAGTGTTAAATAAGAAAAATGTGTGCTAATTAGAAACCAAAAGTCTGTGTAAAAAATGTCCAGCCTTTACATTGAGGAATAAGAAAATTTTTTACTCCTGAGACAATGAAGACTTTCACAGTTTGACATGTAATCTAATATTTGAATATATTATGTTGTCCTTAACCCCATTGCTCAGAGCTAGTGAGCGTTGTCACCAAGAGAAGAGAAAGACCATCAACGGTGAGGACATTCTGTTCGCCATGTCTACATTAGGATTTGACAACTATGTAGAACCTCTCAAACTGTACTTGCAGAAATACAGAGAGGTAAGTAAATAGATGCCTGTTGCTCTGTGTGTCTTCTTCATTATTCTGCCTTCTGTTTCACAATAGAGCTTAGAACCTTGACCATCTAATTCATGAATATTAGCAGTCAAAAAGCTGATAATTGGGCCGATTCTGCCTTAGTTGCCAACGACCTGCCATGAGGATGTATCACACTGGCAGTATTATTACCTTTGGGGTGAGAGGTGGGATGAGCATTTTCGGAGCAGCGTGGATAGATCTGTGTATCTAAATAATAAGGTAGACATGTCTATGAAATGACGGGATACATCTGTGTAAATAATGGACTAGGTTTATCTGTGTATTGATGAAATACATCTATTTAGTGATATTTATTGATGGGATGCCTGTATTTAATGATGGGAGATAAATATATTTATTGATGGGATGCCTGTATTTAATGATGGGAGATATCTATGTAAGAAATAGGGTGATAGATCTGTGTGAGTAAATGACAGTATTAAGTTAGTTAGTTATGTTTCCTTAACAGGGCGTTGCAGAACCAACCTCAGCATATTCTGGCTGTTGTGGTTTGCGTCCAGTAGTTTGCCATTGCTTTCTGGACGGCCGGCTTCTTAAAACCACTGTCGAAACCAATGCAGAGCGCAAGGCCTGCAACTGGGATTGAACCCGGCATTACAAAGCGCGCTCGTAGCGCCTAAGCCACAGATGCTGACAAATGACAGTATAGACTTATGTTTATAGACTGTAAGATACATTTATGATACCCGTGTTGATTGTCTTTCAATGCTTGTCTCTAGTGTTCCAAAGGAGAGAAGAGTATGAACAGTCTGCAAGGCCCAGATGGCAGTGATGACATCTCAGAAGATATGATGGGTAAGTCAGAGAGAACCTGCTTCATTTTGTGAACACATGTGGGCAGGTAGTTTTTCACTCCTTGGAGGATTGAACACAATAGAAGTCTTCCGATCATCAAAAGAATTCCCTCTGAATATTTCAGCTGTTTTACTACTTTTCTGGGGATAGGCCAGCCACGGTCGCAATTTATAGATTTCTTTCTCCTGTTGTGCAGCGGAATCTTGCCAATAATAAAGAATACACAGGTTTAACGCTGCATTTTATGGCCTTGAGCAGGCATGCCAAACATGCAGTCCCTGGTTCAGTCTTAAGTCCCTCTGCAGAATGACTTGCCACCTGCCGAGAGCATCACAAAAAGCATGAACTCTGTAGCTCCAGTGACGATCCCCAAGGATGTGTAATGTCATTTGTGAACTGAAAGATGCATCCGTTCAGTGGCGAGGCAACCAGCTTGACCACTCTGCCACTTGTCGGCACAGCACATGGTGATGTAGTTATATGTGTGGTTAAATTTGCACAATGCGACCATGGTAATTACGTGAGATAATGCAATCACAAAGCAAATTTTCAGTTGCCACATTGCTTTATAGTTTAGAGCTAGGCTGTGCCATTTGTTCCAACACATTCAATTTCATTAAAATTCTAATAAATTACATGTTAATACCTGTTTGTTAAGGGGGGATTTGTCTCTTCCCCTCCACCCTAAATAAGGCGTGTGAACCCAACAGGGAGTTGATGGTGAAAAAGATTTGAACACATCATCACTGGTTTAACAGCTTCATGGAGTTTGGGGCAGTGTATAGGCTTTTATTTTTTGGCAGGGGCGGCTGGAAAAGGAGACATAAACCACCCAAGGGAACCTGAAAAAGGATAGTAGAAAGGGAAATGAAAGCATGCATAGTGGCATGGGATATTGTAGGCAGAAAAGTGGCAGTCTGGCAGTGATAGAGATCACTTGTGAGTGCCTTATTTGTCAACAGTGACATGAAGATTTAGAGACCTTTATTATTTATTAGTGGCATAACCACTCCTTAGGTTTGAAGTACTTCTGCAGCCAGGATGTGAAGTAGTTAATAGGTTCACTGATAAGGTTTTATTTTTGGCTTTTCCAATGTTCAGCACGTTCATTTCCTGAAGCACTGATGGTAACTGACCAGAATGGACAGCAGAATGTCATATACACAAACTATACACAAGGCCAGGTATGTATCAGTTCTTCTCATTCCTGTCAATTGGAAAGTGGGGGGGAGGGGGCAGTTATGCCTTGTTTTGTACCTCACTGTAGGTGTCTTGAGAGGGCAGAAAATAACTACAGACCAGATGAAACTCACGATAGAAGATTGACACATGTGGCAACATGTTCATTTACCATTAACATTGCAGGTTATTCCTAATGCTCCAGTTTTGCATTTTATATTTGTTTCAGAAAAAAAAACTTATTTCAACATCCGATAAAATAAAAAAGAAAAGTTTCTGAAAAATAGCATTTGTTTAGCAATGCAAGTTGAGTTGAGTCACGAATTGACATAACAATAGGGGCATTCCCATGCATGCTCCGTCCTCATCTTTAGCAGCCAGTGCAGAGTTCCAATACTGATGGTACCAGTCACAATCTGGTTAAAAGTCCGCCTTGCCGTTCCTCTGAATGTAGTAAGCTGGCCAGACCCTCTGGTTACACCCAGGTGCCTCATTCTCTCCAGGCCATAAAAATCTTCTTTCTCTACTGATTCCGTTGCTTGTTTCCAAATGGCCTTGACCACATCTGCCTTGTCATGTATCAGTTCACCGCCAAATGGTGCGGATCCAGCCAATTTGTCTGCCTGTTCATTACCCACCACGCTGGCATTGCCTGGAGAAAAGATCCAAGTAAGCTCACCACCTGTGACCTTTCCAGTGAAGCTTGCCACTCTGCTTTGAAGCATTGCTGTCTTCACCTTTTTCAGCATGCTTTAAGTGGCAATGCAAGTTGAATTTGAGAAATCACGATGAGCTTTCTACAAGTTCGTACTGACCACTAAACCGTAAGAATATTCAGCACAAGGGTAATAGCCACTTCCACCCATTAGCCACTGGGCAACTGTTCTGCCAGAGAGCCCTTAATGGCATATGTGGAAATCATTGTTTATCAGCTGGTAAATTAAAGAAGAAATTAAAAGTCACATGGCATCCCAGTATTACTATCTGTTTCTAATTTGTTCATCTTTGCTTGGTTTTCCCTGTCCAACCTCTTGGTTTAAAGTAATTTAGTTTTCTTCTTCAATGTTTTCCCCTTTGTCACCAAATGGAGCGTAGGCCCTCAAACAACGCACACTAAGACCTGTGTCTGTAGCTATCACATGCAGCCCATTCTATGTACTCCTTGCCTTTTTTTTTTTTAAACAGCTTCTCTCTCACTAGTTTTTTTTTTCAAGTCTGTGTCCTTTGACCATGTGAGTTTCATTGCAGAGACATTGTAGTTACATACATTGTTCTCAGGTTTTCTCACTGTATGCCCCATCCAGCACTGTTTTCTTTATCTCCTGATTCACTCAAATGTGTTCAGTTCTCCCCACAAAGCTCCAGTTTAGTCATTCTATTATGTCATTAAATTCCCCCTATTCTACATAAGGCACCTGTTAATGAATCTTTGTAGTTGATTAGTTACTGTTTACGTTCCCTATGTTGTGACTCCATACAGCGATACTGGTATGACAGCAGCACCATTTTAAGTTTCAATTTTTTTTTTTAAGCATTTCTTCTGCAGCCTAAACTATTTAAACTTTCTATTTTGTCAACACCTTTCTTTTATAATCAATTTTTGTTTAAATTTCAGATACCCCAACAGTTGAATTTTCAGTAGCAAAGCATACATATTAAGCAGTTCAACAGTAATGGGGAAAAGAGAGCCCTAAGCATTGCCAGCTCTGTAAGAGAACAAGGGGTTGGTTGCTTTGAAACCAACCATGAACATCTTTTGTTGTCCAGCTAGCAATGATGTTACTGCTGTGCCTCTGCAGCAGTCCTTTGTTGGTTTGTGGCATACCGCTGTGAGGGATATTATTGTGTTCCAAGTCTACAGCTTCTGTGCCATACGAATGACAGTGTCATGAATGATGTAGGTTGTACAGAGATACAGAAGATACTGTATAGTTTTTACATGTCGTGGTTTGGGTGACACAGTAAAGCCATGTACAAATTCAGATGGGTTTGGGTACTTTTATGTACATCCCCCGTTTGCATAATTTTTTTTTAAATTTGTTAGTCGTAAAGGTACTTTTGAATGGAAGCATTCAGATATGTTTACTGTTACGTCCTTGCAAGGACATGGCCTAGCATTTTTGTATGTATATGTCTGTGCATGGGGGTGAGTGAATTTGTGAGTGTACCTGTGCACATGCATTTACCATCTATGATTTTGTTTTGTTTTTCTCCTTGATATTCATATTATGCATATTTTTATATGAACATGACATGCTTTATTGATAAAATACAGTTGCTGTGTGAAAAGATGGGTGTTTGGAGGGGCTGACTGTAAGACGAACATGGTGCCTAATTTGTAACCCTTTGGAAATCAAGTTGGTTCATTAGGTCACTTTCAGTTATCAAATCCTGCTGCAGTATACATGTTCATTTTACGTTTGTAAGGAAAATTATGTTTTGATGAACATTTAGTTCCCAAGCTGTAAAGTGCATATTTCGTTCTCTGTTGCCTTTAATAATTATACCATTTTACTTCCCAAGACTTTACCTGATGCCACTCAAACCTGTATCAAATTTTTTTAAAACAAAAACGTTAGATAAAATAGATTGGTACTCTGACTGCAGTTCTGGCAGGATGTGTACTACTTAATAAAGCACAAACACACACAAACATCTTCATGTTATTGTACATAGTTTTATGTTCTCTATAAGTATGATTACTAAATTAATTTACTTCTTTGTATTTTCTGATGCCTTGTGGTTTGTAACTTAATTTGTGACTAAGATTTACGTAAATATGTTTACACAAGACAGCGAGGGCTGAATTGACTAATTGTAGGTTTCTCTGCAGTATCATCATCATGTGCTGTACTGAGTGAGAGTGGTAATGGTTAGCTATCTCATGTTGTCACCATTCTGAGATCAGGCCTGAATTTTCTGATCAGTGAAGACATGCAGTCCACGTATTTATCCCCCTTGTCTTCCTCTTCCTGTATTTCTACATCTTTGCCTTCACTGGCTGTAAACTCTGGCGGACAGCCCTGGTTGTTTTATCTACTTTTGGGGATGTTTGTTTGTCTTTTTCCAGATCTCGAGTTTTGCATGCACATCCATTTTACAGTTCTGGTTTATTTGTATGCCGACTGTTGGTTCTTTACCTCTCAGGCGAATGCACTGACTTCAAGGGAAACATCCCTGATATTCACATTTTACGACATGCTTGTTAGAGAAGTACTGGGTCTATCACTCCCCCCCCCCCCCCCAAATGGGGGCCCCGGTGCCCACATAGGGATCCTAATCTGTGGATTTAACCAGTTGCTGCTGTTCTCAGCTTTATTCTTTTAAACTGACCAAAACATCTTTACTATGTACATTTTCCCTAATAAATATAACGGTTTCATAGATTTCATGAATTACTGCCTCATTCGTTGTTATGTTTGACTAGAGTATTCTTTGTTTTGTCTAAACACAACATTCATGTTTTTATTTGGTGTTTCTTAGCTTGTCTGCTTAATGTCCATGATTTACATGTATAGAATAGTACAGACGCCTTCAACACACTGTCTTATTGTATTGCAGTTGAAATCATTTTTATTTATGAATATCTATTGCAACTTACAAAAGGCCCCTTTGCAGTTCAGTGGTGTGACATTTTCACTAATATAGAGCTTAGGGCAGAATTAATATCCTAATATGTACAGTCTGTGGTGACAGCACTAGCCATGTGGCCTTAAATCCTCAGACTCAGGAACACCTCACTTGCCCTCTTTACAGACTAAACCACAGAAGGTGTTAAATACTGGCAGTTTTCAGCAGATCTTTGTATGTGAACTAAACAAATGCCAGTGATTCAGGAGGTGAGGAAAAGGCACTTGCCTGGGTGGGTGAACCTGATTAAAGTATTATTGGTGCACCCCTGCATGGTCAAAGAAAAAAAGTGATGAAATAATGGACCCCTGTTGCTTGCGCTTCATCAGTCATGATGCTAGACTCATCATAGATGAGTTGGCACTGAGAAGGTGAAAACTAACCAGTGGAGCATAGGCCCTCAAGATGGAATCAAGCTCAAGATGCTTCACACTAGCAGATGAGCATCTAACCATGCGAGACCCCAAAGGAATAAAGGTAGGCCGTTAAAAAACATGGTGTGAAAAAAATGGGGAGGACATTGTGATGAGCTGCACATGTTGGCAAATAATAGGACGACTTGGTTGAGAGCCCATGCTCATTTTATTTATGTGAAATAGTTTGCATTACTTTGATCGTAAAACTGATGATCATATTATAAGGTGGCCTTGAATGAAAACCTTTAAGGCGTGACAGAAATTACAATAACCATGCCGTTTAAACTATTTTTATGATCAGTGTGTTCATCTACATCATGATATCTTTACGTAACGCTCTTGACATCCTTAACAACAGTATTGACAGCTCACATGGTTATTGACATTTGTTTCACACTTTTAAGGTTTTTATTAGAAACACCCTTCTAGTAAAGATTGGTGAATTTAAAAAAAAAAAAGTGATGTCTCCACAGTGAAGTTTGTCTGTAGTGATATGTGGTGTGGTCCCAATCTCTTCCACAGCACAATTCTCATACCACTGTCTGAAAGTCATGAGAAGGATCCATAAAAAATAAATAAATAAAAACTAAGCCCTGGAAATTGAACCTAGTGCTCCCCATGTGGATTCCAGGGGCCCCATTTGAGGGGGGGGGGGGCAAAATAGTTCCACTGCCCCAGAAGGAGTCAGCTGATTGGGAGCATCCTTCAGAGTGCATCTGCCTGAGAGTCTGCATACAAATAAGCCAGATCTGTCAAACCCAGGTTCTGGAACAAGACTTAAATCCTGAAGTGTACGAACAGCTAGAACTTTCTACTGGAGTTTACAGCCGGTGAATCTAAAGAAGAAGAACCTAGTTCGCTGAGGATCATGAAATTGTGAAGGGCATTCACTAATGTCTAAACCACAGAGCAGCACAAAGACTTGTTCCTATGAGATTAAAGTCAAACATTTTTCTATTGATCTGAGATAAAAGAAAATATGTGTGGGTCAGAAGATGAATTTTTATGTTGTATAAAAGTTTTGTTGTTATTTGGCACTTTATGTATTACTTTATGCTCATTTTTAACAGTATCTGCATTGTAAATACTGATAATGAAATCTTCCTTTGTGGTGTCTTGTGTTTTTTCCTCAGATATCTGGAGAAAATTGTTATAAAATGTTGGAATAAATGCTATGTAAACTACATGAATTTGTGTTGTATGTTCAAAGACATTGTGGGAAGATGGTAGGTCAGCTGGGCTTTTACAGAACATTGCTGCTCTCACAGCACGCCTGAATCTCTATTTCTCTAGCCCTATGTGCTTTTATAGCCAGTGCAGCTATAGTGTTTTGCAGCCACCTTTGCAGAGTTCAGCTTCTGCCTCATTCTCTAGAAGCAGAATTTTCTATCGTCATTTTATCCAGACCACCATGATGACTTACTTACTTAGGGGCTACCTTGGGGTGTAGAGGTTTGCCAGAGAGATCGCCAGGTGTCTCTAACAGCAGCTTTCTTTCTGGCTTTGATCCATTCCAGTCCTCTTAGTTAGGGACTGTCGGATGTTGTCTTCCCAGCGGACCCTCGGTCGGTCTGGAGTTATGGTTCCCTGGTTCTTAGTGACTAAACATAACTGTGACTGATCCATTCAGGTTTGTAAGGACTGGGTATCAAGATCTTGAAGTAATGTCTGATTGCGGACTTTGTGATGACACATTAACATGGCCAAAATACCTCAGCTTTTGGGACAGTATGCTGTTCATGGTTAAAAATCCCAATTCTTTTGTCAGTAAGAGTCCACGACTTGCACCCATAAGTTACCACAGGAAAGAAGCATGATCTTAAAATTAAACGTGCTTGCAGGTGCTGTGCCATAGGTTCTTCATGCTGCTTAGCCTCTGCATTGCTAAAATAAGTCTTTTTCTGACTTCTTTTATGCATTCACCATTGCTGTTGACTACTAAGCCTAAATATTCAAAATCATGGGAAGATTAGTGGTACCAATAATTATGAGGACATTCCTATAGGCAGAATAGTTTGATAAATACAACTAGTGGTTCACAAGCATATGATGCTAGACTAGTACTCAGTGGGTGATGTCAACATCACATCAGCTGCCTTTACTTTCCAGGCTGGTACCAATCTTTGGCTAGGTCAACCTGGGAGGCAAGATCAGTTTAAAAAAAAACTTGCTAGAATGTGATTTGAACCTAAGAACTTTAGGTTGGCAGACAAGCCACAACGCTACAGTGGCTGTGCAAAAGGTAATATGACCAGATAATATACAGTGCAACTTATTGTACATGGACCAGTAGAGCAGATATTCTTTGTGCTGCATATCAGCTTGATTATGCATGGAACAATAACCAAACAGGTGTTATACCATACAGTTGACATTACATGGAATAGTAAGTGATACAACACAATTTACTATACATAAAACAGTAAGTAGTGCCATACACCTGACTATAAATAAAAGTAAAGGACCCTCTTCCACTACTTCAGGCGCATTGGGCATATAGGGCTAGACCTATATTTTATAGACCAATCGGCACTTAGTGTGTTATGTGGTTAACATCACGCCAGCCAGCGTTACTTCCCAGGACTGCAGCTGGTACCCACTCAAGGCTGGGTTGACCTGGGAGCCAAGGTTACTTTTGAAGAAAGCCTGGGTCTGTCAGGATCCGAACACACGATCTTCCGATCTGCAGGCGAGCGTCTAGATGCTACACCACGGCAACTCCCCAAACTTAAAATCGAACAGTAAATTATACCATACAATTAACTATACATGGAATAATAAGTGATACCATAAATATAGTATACATTGAACAGTAAATTATACCAAACACCTGATTATACATGGAGCAGTAAATTAAACCATCCAACTGAATATACATGGATCAGTAAACTATACCATGCAGTTGACTATGCATGGAACAGTAAACTATACCATAACATTGACTATACATGGAACAGTAAACTATACTATGTGATTTACTATACATGTAACACTAAACTATACCATATTATTACCTATACATGTACCAGTAAACTATACCATGGCATTATACATGGAACAGTAAACCATACAATTTACTATACATGGAACAATAAACTGTACCATAAATATACTTAACACGGAATAACAAACTAGGAAGGAGTATAACCATTTGATTACAGTGAGGTAATGTAGGAGACATCTGTTACCAAAACCAAATGCATTGACCAAAAAGATTGTGAAAAGTTTGTTGACCAAAAAAAATATGCGAAAAGGAGAATGTGTACAAAAAATAACAGCGAAACAGAAGTTGCTATACCACACCACCCCTCTGGATGTCTTCCTACTTGAACAAATGTGCCAACAAAGAAATTTGCGTTTACTGAAAAATATTATCATTGATCTCTTGCCCGCTCTGATGATATTCAGCGAAAAGCTCTGCAAGCTCGGACTTCCCTATGTCCTTCAAAGCTCGTTCCAGGTCTCTCACCCTGTCTCTGGTCTTGGATTCTCTGGTCATTTTCTTCCACAGCTGCAGGCACTCAGAGGTCACTGCGATTCGGTCACCCTCGGAACCTTCATCTGTGAGGAAGCCAGTTGTTGTGCTATTAATGATGTTGACGATTGCGGTTGTTGGTATGTTTAGGTACATGGCTATCTCTAAGCCTTTCAGTTGCTCCTTTCCTATGCCTCTAGCAAGCACGGTCAAGCTTGCGTCTGTGAGTACTTCTGGTTCTTTCTTCATTTTTAGCTTTTGGATAGCTATGGGGATAAACAGAAGAAGAAGATAGGAAAGTTAAAAGCACACACAAAGAAATACAAATAAAACGCAGGTCTGACAAAACTCAGGTGGATCGGTCACAACTACATGGTTTGGACATGTATACAGAATAAGAGAGAATCGTTCGTTCGCTTTAAATTAGCCACGTTCAACCTCTGACCAGGCAGCTAGCCTCGTCCTGGTGGTAAATATCGGTTATAACTAGGACAACAAACTTGCTATTTCATTGTGTAGTGTTTTGGTTTGGTATTTCATGTTTATCTGGCCGGTAAGTCGTGTCCGTCTCATTGTGCAGGCTTGGATTTGATTAGGTAATGTGGTCTTCACTGTGCCATCTGTTAATGGTGGTGCTGCCATTTGTTTGGCTGACTCCTGTGCTATTCACGGTATATTGCTGTACCAGTTCTTCTGTTTTTTTTTCGTAGCTGTCATCGCTATTGTTCTGCCATTAGGTCCTCAGTTACTATGGCGATCTTGACCAGGCTTTATCAACATGGAAGGCCAAAAACCAGGAAGCCAGACTTCCAGGACCACCCAGGGTTAGGGAAAGACAACACCCGACAGTAACTGACTGAGAGAGGATTGGAATGTAATGAAACCTAGAAAGAAAACTGCTAAAAGAGAAGTCTGGCAAACCTCTACGGGCCCTGCTGTATTAAACATGTAGAACTTGGGTACATGAGCAGACATTAGTAAAAAGTATCGTTTCTTAGCTTGAAGAAAAAAAAACTTAAAAATCGTCACATTCAACTGGCATCTCCGAAAGGGGAATTTTAGATTATAATTGTGACTAGGTTATGTGTGCTACATAAAATTGCTTATAGCACTGCACGCCACCAAAAGCCCTGCAGTGTGGATGCGATCAAAGAAGACAAACCCAAATACTGTCCCGACCAGGATGAAGTCGTCGATAGGCGACCCGACCGTCGATGGTGTAAAAAAGGTGTAATTATTAGCCAGGCTTATTATACACATGAGCCAACGACTATGGGATATGGGCAGAAATCGCTTCCAGCCATTGAAATGGTACCATCAGTTTATCAGCATGTCGTATTTCTATCAGTTTATCATCATGTAATATTCCTGTCAGTTCATCATCATGTCATATTCCTATCAGTTTATCATTACTCATATTCTTGTAATTATATGCCATAATTAGGCACCAGTTGCCGTTGACTGAGAAGAGAAACTGGGGTTTGGGGGGGGGGGGGTGTCCGACCTTCTCAATTCTTTCAACACGCGCACACATCTCTTTCAGAACAAAGAAGCATTTATCCCAACATATTGCGACAGATAAATATAAAATAACAAATATTTGCTCTGAGAACTCGATTAGCACGATATATCCATGAGAGCTGAACAGGATATTTTTTAGGAAAAAAATGCTAGTACCACTTCAACACTTTCTAATTCAGAATAAACAGAGGGTAGGGGAGGGGATGTCTGTCGTGAAGAGGTCAAGCTTTTTGCCTGGCACTCTGAAGGTCTCGTGTCACGTCTGTCTCGTTCAGTTGGCGAGTGCAATTTTTACAGAGATCAAAGAGTTGATGCTCTGTGCGACGCTCTCGGCAGGCGGCTAGCCTTTCTGCGGAGAGAAACAGAGCCCTATGTGATACGACTATGTGCAATGAAGTCTATCCTCTCAACTTACTTCCTAATTCAGAGTATTATGGACTTTGGAGCAACTGTCTTTGAGTCTCGGTCAATTTAATTTCGGTGATCGGTGGAGTTATTCAGACTTTAGCTATTGTGGTAGACATTATACTATACAAATAACAGTAGAACTGCACAGAACAAGTCAGCCAATGCATACCGTATACAGAGTAATACAGAAAGGATAACGAGTCGCTTAACACTAAAATAAAAGGGTTAACTAAGTCTAACATTCTACTTATAAAGTTATGAACTAATACTAATAAACTAATAATAATATAATTTACTATTCAATATTTCTTCATGGTGTTTTTGTGTGTGTGATATTAAAATAAAAGAGTATGCTGTGCTATTAAAATTAATGTACGTTTCTAACAAAATAAACTAATCCACATACCAAACTGTCGAATGAGAATTCAATATTTTTTCTCTTAAAACAACAAACGATAGTTTGTTAACTCTGAAATATTCTTGCGCTTTCTCAGCAACGCGTCCTAAGCAACACAACACCGGATAAGGAATATAAATATAATCGAACTCTGGAAACATGAGAACTCCATTGGATAGAACGAGACACCCGTACCTCCAAGTCTATATCCAAACATTTAATCGCGGAGAAGGCACTTTATGTTGTTTACTGGTCCATTTTGTTGATTGTTTATAGATGTAAAATAAAACAATAATAATAACTATTTATTAATTTATATTTTAATTTGAAACTAGAGAAATGTTGAATTGATTTATTTATTGCTTTTACTGAACAGAAGGCTGACAATATTAAATATAGTTGATGTAATTTATACATAATAATTTTATTAATAAAACAATTGTAAAAACAATACAAATAACCTATTACGTATATAATATATAAATTTATTTAAGACGAGCCGGTAGGGACGAGGTGGCCGAGTGGTTAAGGCGATGGACTGCTAATCCATTGGGGTCTCCCCGCGTGGGTTCGAATCCCATCCTCGTCGATAAATATATTTTTTTTCAACTAAGTATAACAAAAATTTACCCCCCCCCCCCCCCCAAAAAAAAAAAAAAGTTACCTGAAACTATTTTGACTTGATGTGCCTCGTCGATTTCTTCGTTTAGTTAGTTTCGCAAACTATGAAAGTCACCTGATAAAGAAAATTTGAGTTGAAGTGACAGACATTATCCCAAACAAAAGAAGAAAACATCGAATTAGGTTTAATCCCAGCACACTCATATATTGTAAGCAAGTTGATGACATACTCAGGGGTGCTGGAAACGTAAGGCTCCGAAATTTTGAGACCTCTACCAATTTGTAGAGCCCATGAACGTCCCCCAAAAATGCTGCTCACTACTCCCAGAAAATTTGCAATGGGGCTAAGCTTCCCTCCCCCAATCCCCAATTTCATACAGACGGTCTATTTCTAAGCATTTCTTTGTACCTGTCATTCTATTTCAAATTTATTATTATTTTTATCTGTCACTGATCCCACACAATAATGATGATGATAATAATACTGATTACTGATTTAAGAATCGTAGCACACCGGGCATATCCATAGATGCTCCGTCTCCCGCAGCAAATGTCTTAAGGTGTAGATACTGTCTCCGTATCTTGAGGTCAGATTATACACACGTCGTTCTCTTCCTCTCATCCGTCCCTCCTTGCCGGATCCACACTTAATTCCTCGCTTACACATTCTCGCACATGTTATTTCATTTAATCTCGTGTCTTCTCTCAGCAGTCGTTCATGTATGGTCTTCAGAATATCTCCCTTGTCCAGTACGAGAGTTCCCGTAGCTTTCGCTTTTGTAGCCAGAACATCCGCTCTTTAATTTCCTCTCACTCCTTCATATTCCGGACAGTATATCCACGTTATTCCCTGCAATGTTTGCCACAAAAATTACGGCTCCGCCAGTACCCAAACCCACGACCATCCAATCCGCAGGCAAGCGTCTTGCTGCTACAATACGGCGACCTGGTTTAAAAAAAATCTCGTTTCTGGTCTGAGCCCACGACCTTCGATCCACAGGCCAGTGTCTAGCCGCTACACCACGACGGCTCCCCACTCCATGATTAGATACAAAATGCTGGCGGACCACCAAGGTATTTCAGCGGACCGTCGGTGATCAACACTGCTGTACAGGACGTAGACAGTCTGAGTGCTAATAAAGTGGCGTCGCGAGGTGAAACGCAGCCTTCCAAGAAATTCTTCTTCTTTGCGTTCGTTTTCGTATGCTCAGATCAGACCATCAGGTGAGTTGCCTCCAGAAACTCGCATGTCAGCTGCAGGTCCTGCATGGTTCCCCATAGCTTGCTCTGCACACTCTGCTCTTGAGGCCAGGTGTCTTTTCGAAGTTGCAGGTAGAGTGGGTAGGTCTGCAGAATGTGCTAAGGTGTTTGGGGTCCTGTTGACAGGCACACTGGGGGGGGGGGGGGGGGTCTGTACAATCTTTATTTTATACATGTGGTAGTCAAGCCTGCAGTGTCCTGTTCGTAGACGGAAAATTATTGTATATTGCTTTCTGTTAGGTCATGTGATCTTGTGGATGTTTACTGTTAGTTTGTTCTCTCCACAATCCTTGGTATTTTCCTTTGATAAGTGTTCTGATTTCTGGCAATGACAATGAATGGGCGTGTTGTTTCTCCTTTGTTCCATTTTTTGCAAGTCTGTCTGCTAACTCATTTCCTGGAATGCCGCAGTGAGCCGGGATCCACTGGAGAACGATTTCATTGTTTTCTGTGAGTCTGTTTAGCTGATGGGTCAGTTCTCTTTCTATGTTGTCTCGTGGATCCCTATGAGTCGCCTGGAGGACTGACATGCAGTCACAAAGGAAAACAATTTTGCTTTTTCTTTAATTTTTTCCTCCTCGAGTACTTTAGCTGAATCAATAATTGCTTGTTGTTCTGCTCTTAAGTTTGTTGAGTCTTCCGGAGGCGCATGACGTTTCTACTGTGGTCCCATCTTGCAGTCCGATGACCGATCCAGCTCCTCTGTTTGTTTCTGCTCCCTCAAATGATCCATCGGTGTAAGCGTGTGTCCATTCGGGTTTTGGATAACAGTTGTAGACATGTTCAAGGGTCTTTGCACTCAGTTCTAGGTCACACTCTTCAGCCTTTCTGTCTATGCCTGGAATTGTTGTTGTGACTGTATATTTAAGCTGTAGGTCTATGCTGTATGCGTGGATCATTTTCCATGTTGAAGGATCTTTAGAAAGGACGTCACTGTTTTTTGTGTAGTATAATTTAGATAGATGGTGAAAGCTTTGTCTTTTCAGTCGGTTTTTGGTTAAGTTATTTGTTATTCTGTGCATGGGTTGTTGTTCATGCGTTC